GATTGGAGACTTTGGTGTTGATTTGTAATTTGATTTTATGGTGTCAAAACTCTAAATGTACTTTTCTGGACTTCTGAATGTTTTGAAACTTGTTTTCATGCCAAGTAAGAATGCAGAGTTGAAATAACCCAATTCTGCATTAAATGGAAAACACTAAAATCTTTGATACAGACACATTGAATCACCTCACTTCTACACACTTGATTTAGAAAAAGAGTTGTCAGCACTCCTGACCTGAGATGATTTTCTGGTAAGCAACACTGAAATATTTTATCTGGCAATCACTTTACTTGTATCGGTGCTTGTCAGTGCACTCTCTTGGGATTTGTAGTTCCTGTATTTTGTACTCTTTCCTTCTCTGCAATGCAGCTTGACTAGCTGAACAAAGTCCCCTGGTTCACTGAGTTGGGCAGCTCTCAGGTGGCACTGTGATGATTCAATTAAAGGAAGATAGTGCAGTGATTGTTGGTGTGTGCAGTCCACACAAAGAGCAGCTCACATGGGAAGACAGAGACTGAGACTCCTAAAGTGTAAATCTGATGGGGTAGTTTAGCCATTCATGTAAATATACAAATTTTTTGCCTCAGTGAAGCACAGCAGACTATTTCCTTACATACTTTCTGCATCGTGCAATTGCAGACTTTTTAGCTGATGCAGGTCTCAGCAGAAAATTTGTAGTATAATTGGTGGTGTGTGAGGCAGAGCATACATAGTACAATGAAGTTTCAAGACAGAAGTAATGTTAAAAAATGGTCGTTACCTTGTGAGGAACCTTGCAGCTTTCTCCTGCCCTACTGGCTTTGTTCAGCCTGAGTTGCCTCATGTATGTCTCTGTATGGGGGCTGGCCAAGGAAAGCCTCCTTGAACCTCAGACTCTGTAACATGTTTAAGTAGGGAGGGGAAAAAAATGCCTAGGGAAATGTTGCATAGTGTAAGAAATTATTATATGTTGTAAATTGTTGCTAACAAGTTTGGATTACGTTTGTAGTTAGTTCCACTGAGTTATTCCACCCCAACATTTGGATAAAATGGAGAAGAAAGACTTCAACAAAACTAACAAAACTGTTGTTTGTGTGGATCCCAGTAAACTCAACATAAGAGCAATCCCCTGTTCTGGGGTACAATAACTGAGTACAAAATTATGCTTAGTTTCATTCTGGTGTTCCTGGATATGCTTTTAATTCCCTGGCACTGAAGTTTGTTTTAGTAACAGTAATTGAATTATCTGTAAATGTGTAAGTAGGTCAAGGCTTCATACTTTTACCAAATATCTCTTGAACTTGAGTTCCAAACCATTGCTTTCTTTTTCTAATCTTGGCATCCCTTTATCTAGTGAACATCTTGTCCTGGTTTTACTGAGATTGAATTGTAGAATTCAATTTTCTATTCAGCAGACTGCATTTCTGAGAGGATTGCAGTGTTTGATTTAGTAAAAAACCAAGTTGATAAGATACTTCATTTTAATTTTAGCTGGGATAGAAGATAGATTTATTTTCTTCATAGTAGCTAGTGAGACTTTATTTTGCATTTGGACTGAGGAAATGTTGGTAGTGAACCATTGTTTTGGTTGTTGCCAGCAATGCTGACATTAAGTTGAGGTCTGACTGTTTTTAAATTTCTTCAGTTTTGGCGGTTTGGTTTTTTTTCTTTTCTTTCCTCTGCACAAGAAGTTGGGAGGAGACGTAGCCAGATGACCCAAGCATGATCAAAGCTTGTCAACAGAATTTATGCTATACCACAAACATCACACTCACTATAAATTGGGGAGTTTGCTGGGGACATTTTTCTTCTTTGGATGGCTGCCATCCCTAGAGGTCTCATCCATAATTTGGTTCCCCTCCCCTGCTTGGTGACTGTTACATTTTTGCTGGAGCTGGAGCTTTTCCCAAGGTTGCTGGGAATGCTTTTAGGGGAAAAAAACCTCTCATGTCCTGCACTGACAAACTTCGAGTTTTCAACTTTTGTTTCCTTAGAATTAATTAAAAAAACACCAGTTCTTAGGAAGCAGTGATGCCAAATTATGGTGTAAAAGGATAATTTTTGCAAGATGTATGGATGACTAGAAATGAAACACGTATTTAGATTTAGAGATTTAAAGATCAGGGTCTTCCCAAACCACATGGTCCTGAATCCTAAGGAACCATAGAAATTCTGCTCCTAGGAGTTGTATTCATTTCCCTTAGCTGTAAGTAGCTAAAGGATACTAGTCCTGGTTTGTCCAAGACTTCCGCTGTCAATAATGGAGAAAGAGATACCTTTGAGTAGTGACTGATGATTAATGTCAGAAGAGATGAATCATACCCCATATTGCAGAAACCTCTTATGATCGTATCAAAGAAGAGAAGCCTGATAAGCATAGTCTTTCAGCAGTCTTTTAGCAATGCACATAACAGAACCATCACTTTCACTTCCCATTTGGTAACTTTTAATCTCTCTTTCCCATTGCAAGATATTAATGACTTCGGGGGCTTGTCAGTTCTCTGTGTGTTCTGCTGCTGGCGTAAGTCCTGCATGTCTCCATACCAAGCTCCCAGTGTGTTAACAGAGTCTGTGGTCAAGATTAGGGAATGGCTCCTGTATCCTGCAGTCTTTCTATTACAGGATCTCACTATCTTCTTTCTTTTTGCTTCATATAAGATGCATTACCACTGTTGTCACAGTTAGTCTTTGAAATAGATTTCAGAGAGTTCTTACCTGTCAAGATGAAGACTGCAAATTATCTTCACAAGGAGATGAGTGAAGTTTTAAATATTAACATTGTAAATTTAGTCCGAATTGAGAGTCAGGAGACAGTTGTTTGCGGACTTGTTTTCTGTGAGCTCTTTGAGTTCTTTGAGAAGGCTTAGGGTAAGAAAAGATCCATTTAGGCAGGTAGGCACATAATGAAACTGTGAAAGCCTAATTCTGAGGTAAAGTGAAGGAGCATATAATTCGCTTTTGTGTGTTGGGTCAGGTGACTCAGAAGCAAACAATGATAAATCAAGAAAGAAAATTTTTGTATCAGGCAACAGCTTGTGTTTCCCAGATTAAACTTCTTGAGTAGAATTAGACGATGATTTTATTCCATCATTCTAATTAAATGATTCTGCCCTTTTCATTGTCTGAGGTCATTGTTGAATGACAGAGAAGTGCCTTGAGTGCTGCTTCCCAAATATAATTAAATGAGGAGATGTTTTTCAGTGGAAAAGATTATACAATTCCTGAATTTAAAGCAGCTAAAACAGAATTAGACTACATATATTGAAAGTTAAACTGTGCACCTGTGAATATTGGATTTGATGGTTTTGTATCTTTAATTGAAGCTCTTTTTATTTTTTTTAATTTTGCACTTCATTTTCTCGAGTTCTTAAGATTTAAGACGACCACAAAACACAAGTGCGCTTTCAGATTTCTGCACAAAAAGAGACAAGAGAGATAAGAATTTTGTAGTCTAAGAGATAAAATACAGAATCTCGACTCAACTATAACTAATTAGGAGTCTCCTGTTGTGATGTATCTTGTCTCAGAACATTCCCACTCACTTTGGCAGTAATCTTCATACACTGAATTAACCAGGCAGTGCACAATGACACTGTCTGGAATGAGAGCTGTCTTTTGCACAGCGGATGTTTGCTTCTGACGTGGACCAATAATGTGAGTTAGACATGCAGGGGAAGATGTAATTTTGCAGTGCAGACATCCTAGATCTCACTTTGCTCATCAAAATCCGAGAGAGAACATCCTCAGAGCTACAGTCCCTATCAGAGTTAGAGTTTCTGCAGTTTAGATTAGATCTGGTCCATGAAGCAAGTTTAGAAAAGCATATGTGAATGCCAGTTAATTTATTCCATATACCCTCAAAAGACCAATCACTGACAGTGCAAGGAATGCATGGCATTAAACTCTTGTGTGTTCCTGAGAAAGAGGTAACTGCATATCACTACCTGTAATATCGTGTTCTAGGCTTGTGTCCTGCATTTGTAGTAATCCTTATTATAATGCAATTATACCTGTATCACGTTGCCTTATGTATGAATTGTCTTCTAAACTTTGTCCCAGTGTAACATACACTATTATTCACTCTGCCGTTCTAGCAATATTCTTCTAAGCTTACACTGCATGTGTGGAATTTATCATCAAATTTACTTCTTTTCCTTTCCATAACCACGCACCTATGGCTATAATTTAATGTTTAAAACAAAGATATTGACTTGAATTTGAACAACTTCTTATTCATTTAAGGGCTCAATGTGACAGTTTACCAACTGAATTTAGAAGGGGTTGAAAAAAGCCTTCACTTATAATGTGCATAATAAATGGAGGGACAGATTCCATTTCACAGACAACAGTTTATTTGCTTGACGATTTATTAATTATTAGAACATTATTAATAGCCTTTTCTATTGAAATAATAAATTCCATTGTAAGAAAATAGAGCAAAGTTATTTAAAACATTTTTTTTAACCCATTCCATTACCTACCAAAAAATCCTACATTTCTGACTGCTGTCTCCAGGGATTCAAATTTGCGTCATGCCATATTTTTTTCCTCTTCTCAGAAGAAAATAAGGAATTTTTTGCTTTGAACTTAAAAGTTCTATTTTTGTTTTGAACAGTCATTCTGAGAACTGTTTGAGTCCTCTAGAATGCTATATGCATCTGTTTTGCTTTTATATTTGGTGCAATACCAGTAATACAATCAAACATGAAGTTCTATATCCAGGAATGTTTTTTAACTACTACTTTTAATGACTTTAACTAAACCTCCTTGTTCAGCTTTCTTGTTTCTCTCTCAAAAGAATTTGAGCAGATACATTTTTTACTGTTGTCCATTAATAAATTGCCTCCAGTTTTTTTAGCCTGTTCAATAAAAATATAAAGTACAGATTAGAAGTTAAAAACGAAATAGCAAGAGTGGACCTATCATCTGAGTAATTGATCTAGGATTTCTTGGAGTATTTATTTTAGGAAATAATTGTGGATTTTTTTATTCTTTCTTTTATTTTTTTTCTCTATATTCAGATGGAAGACGTCATAGCCCGCATGCAAGATGAGAAAAATGGAATTCCTATTCGTACAGTCAAAAGTTTTCTTTCCAAGATCCCCAGTGTCTTTTCTGGTAAGAGTCAAAGTGAATTTCATACTATTTACAGTTTCTATTTTACCGTATATAAGGGGATGCTCAAGTGGCAAACACTCTTAACTATGGAGAATTCACAGTCATCTGATCTGGAGGAGACATTGAGTATCCTTTGAGTACTTTAATTACAGAAATTTTGTATGTGTTTCTCTCACATTGGAGTGGGTTTACACAGAGATGTTAATGTCTTCATGATCTTAGAAACTATTTGTACATAAACTCACCAGAATGGACCTTTATTTCCTATAAGTTAGTACAGCTTGGCATCCTATTAAATGTTCCATATTAATTATAATTCTCTGCCTTACCTTGTGTGCTATGGTTTTCAAATTATGGTTATTCGTATAGTGGGAGACATTATTTACCATTTTTTTAAGTTCTTTTTTTACTGGAATAGACATCATACTTTTTAAGGTTGTGTTTAGAATATATGTACTGTAGTATAAGTCACTGATACAGTAACTTTTGTATATCACTTGAGGCTTTACATTTATCAACTTCAGGGAGAAAGAAAAAGGAGAGTTCATTTTTTCTCTTTGCAGATTTAGTTCCTCAAATACCAGGGCAGTAATTATTGCTACGGTTGACTAAAAAACTCACCAGAACAGCCCAACTGTCACCTTAGTGCAATTAATCTAATTTTCTGTCAGTTCTCTGTCCTGGGTGAAATCTGAACTTTCGTGTTGAGAGTAGCAGGTTTCCTTAATTGTGCTAGGATTTTGTGGATATGTAGCAAATCTCATCTTGAAGTCAAAACTATTGATTGCTAGGAAACGTGGGAGTATTGTTGTCTAAGGATAATGATGATAATAATGAAAACATAAGTGCATACAGACTTGCTGTAAAGCAGTGGTTGATAGCTTATTGTACTCTTAGTAACCACAAAAGCATCTGTAAGAAAATGAGCAGATGCTCTCCACTTTATATATATATGTGTATATATATATATATATATATTTATGTCTGTATGCTTATTTATATATATCTCTGTATGTCCATGCATAAAAGCCTGTGTTGTACCCAGGCATCCTTTCGGGATTATGTCCCATAAAAACTGGAACTTTGCAATTGTTTCTTTGTGGGGAGAGCAAACTGGGTAGGTCTACCACAGTTAAGTCATGTTCCTGCAAAAACTTAGGCTCATGCCTATGTGAATGCATTAGAAAAAACCTGCAAGAGCCATTTGAACAACATGTAAAGATTAAGGATGTCCATAAATTGTCTGTATGATTAAGGTCTTATGGGCTAGCATTTTAATTATGTTGTTATAATAGGCAGACAGGTATTTTTATTTTTCTTTACTTATGTTTCATAGTATTGCTTTGAAGAACAGCAAGTGAAAAAGTAGTTGAAAGAGCAATCACTTTTTAGTGCAGAGTTATTGACCATATCTATTTAAGGATGACTACATTAGCAAAATCAGCCTGCAGAATGGTATTTGGATTTAATCTTTCAATAGAATATTGTGATTGTAATAGGTAGGATGATGAGATTATATTATCTTGTTTACTGAGTTATTCCTTAAATGTTTTTACAAGTGAAATATCCACACAAAGAAACATTTCAAATACAGATAATACTCTGGGCTGTACATGTTGTTGTGCTTCAGAAAAACACAAACATAATGGTAAGTTAAAGATTATTTCACCTTGTGAAATTGTGCAAGAATGATAAATTATTTTACTTTATATTTCATATACTCAGGGAGTAAATAAGTTCCTTGAAGTTGATGTTTTTTCATTCATTTTTGTGAGCAGGTTGCTTGAATTCAAACGCACCATTTTTGTTAAATTTCTGTCTTGAAATCTTTCAAAAGTAAATAATTTAGTAGATTTTACCTGATTAAAATATGCATGAAATGAATTAGCAAACTATTTGTTAAAAAAGAATAAAACCCCATAGATGTGTGCTAATTACTATTTGTATTTGTATCCACATTTAGGAATGTATCAGACTGACTATGCATCAAATTTATCTTTGGTGTAGATTCACTAGAGCTGGTGAATTGCAGAGTAATTTGGATAATAAAATCCCAGTCACCTACAAGCAGGAGGTGAAATAGATTGTGAAAAAACCAAAACAGTCCTTGTCTGAGCTCCAATATATCATATATGCCAAGATCTCTGAAAACACAGGGGTAAAAAATAAGCTGTTAGCAACTATCCTGATTGTATACCTCATTCCTTGGTACAGAGAGATTTTTCCTAGCTGTTTGGCATTAATGATGTTAATGATATTCATTTGAGCCCTTTCAATGAAGAACTCTATATAAAATCCTGCCTATTTTTATTTAAATAACTGTGATGAACAACTTAGTATGTCACTAAGTCTGTAATGGAAATGATGTGACTTATACATAAAAATTAACAATTATTGGAGAGGGGAAAAATGCATTCTTGTGTAATTCCAAATGGGATTCAGCATAAATAATCTGTGGAAATACAGCATTGGGAGCTGACTGCTCTGACTTTTACTTGTGCTGCCTGCAGACCTGCAACCTGTTGTGCTCATCAGTGAACATCTGTGGTATATTTTAGTATGTCATGACAAGCAAGAATAAATACCAAAAACCCAAGAATTATTATGTACTGTAGCTTGTTGGGTCTGATGAGCAAATTGTTTCATTGCACTCGAAGTTTATTTTATACCAAGGTCTGCATCATTCACTGTTGCAGAACAGATACTTGTGGTCTCAGTGCTCCGTGCTTCTTTTTTTTTTCATTTTTCAATTTGAGCCAAACAACTACTACATGTGGTTTTTTCAGCATAACTCTATACTGACTCATGCTGACACTAGCTCACTGCCTTCTGGGGCCATTGCAGCAGTATACTGTATGTCTATTATAATTTCAGCCAAAAAAAAGGTTTTTATAAAAGACCCTAGCTTTTACAGAGTCTCACTGAATTACCTCATCCAGCTAGTGCTTGTGAGGATAAGTACAATTAGGTCTTTGAACAGAGAGAACGTACAATGTGCTGTAGCAGGTGGTCTTTTTAGTGATGGTTCACCTCAGGCTGAGTCACGCGCAATCTTACTTGCAAGTCAGATCAGACTGAGTGCAACAAAGAGATGAATTTGCATGGCTAGCTTTGCAGAGAACAGACTAATGCACCTATGTATCCTAGTACACTAATGGCTGAAACCAGAATTCCTAGATTATACTTTAGATCTTACACTGGTCACTGTTATTGGAAATTCTGCTGGAAACTGTATTATTGATTTAGACTGCTTAAGCATATAAGCTATGAATTAAATCATAATTTGAGTAATAGCTTCCTGTCTTTGAGAATGGAATAGTGTATTTTTATTATGAGCAATATAGTCTGCTTATGGCCATTCACTTCATAATCTTGAGTGTGAAAATCACACCAGAGGTTGTGTTTTAAAAATGGTATTGTTTTAAAAGTGCATCCTCTAGCAGAGCCTGAACTATCTCTGAACTGATCTGAACTGATGATACGTCAGGTGAACTGGAAGTTTCTTGAAGGAAGGATTGAGTCAGTTTTCTCAGTAGCTTGAAGCATGTCTGGGCATCTAAAGCTGGGCTTGAAGTTGACACTGAAGTAGTTTTCTACATGGTTCTTGGGAAATTTGACTGTCTATTGCCAAAATTTTAGATATCCCTATGGATCTAAGTTGCTTTCTATTATTAATGCTAATGACCATAGTGATGGGTGCTCTGTTTTCAGAAGACACGTATTTAAAACAGTGGTTGAGGTCTGATTAGACTGTGGTAATTCAGGACCCCTATATGTCTGCAGTTTGCATTCTCAAGGGGAAGTCACAGCATCATCATTCATCAGATATATATTGTGGCTTTGACATTGATTTGACACTTTAAAGGCTCCCAAGAAAACAATAGGCAGGAGAGTTTGATCTTTCAATGTGATTATGCATTTTGATGAACAAAAGAAGGGCTTGCTGTTGTCATCTCCATGGTTTTAAAATGTTTTGGAGGAGTGAAGGAGATTATATAGACATCTTGCCAGTCAACAATAATAATTACATGAAGGTTGTTATGTGCATTCTTTACTAGCACTGATTAGAGCATTAGGAATAAAAAGAAGGCAATTTGCCTGGAATATGGTTTACCATTAGGCCTGGAAATGGATAAAAAAATCTTGCTTGAAATGATGAATGTAGGGAACCTGACATATGAATCATAGAGATTAGAAGGAACTCTAAAATATCATTTTTATTTTTACTGAGGAGAGACAGCAACTAAATGCCAAAGTTTTGCTGTTGACCTTCAAGCAGAAAGCAGCTTTCAGAGCTTACAGATAAGGCACTGCAATAGCTGAGGGTTTATTTTGAGGGTCTTTGTGGGATGGGTTGGTCAGTATTAGTACTGAAAGCTTCATAAGTTAATCGTAACATGAATATTTCATTAAGACAAATGTAATGATATAGCAGTATCTTATGGTCACTATGCAGTATCAGTGTGATGCTTTATAGGACTTTAAAGGGTATAGTACTTGGATATCCTTGGTGATGAATAAAATCCATGGAGAGTGTGCCAACTGAGTGGTGTGTAAGCATGAACAAGGGGGCACTGTTTAGCATTTTTTATTGAAGGAAAGAGGAGAGCTATGAGAAATGTAAGTTCAAATGAAGAATGCATGCAGAGAGAGAATAAAAAGTATTCAAGGAAAGCATGTTCATACTAGTTGTTACTGGCTGTTTCTAGTGGATGGCTCAATAATTTCGGAAAGTAGTCACAGCTTGAACCAACAGAAATGGAGACAGAGATCAGTAGAAAGGTGGTTTTTAACATCTCTTCTGAGTAAAAGAGAAAATGAAAAGATTAATTTACCTTTCCCAGGAAAATGTAATACATCTGAAGTCTTTAATTTCTTCTCATTCCTGTATGTGAAGCTGATTTTGTGCCTTTTCCATGTAGACAACATATTTTCCCATTTCTTAGTAAGATTATTGCTATCATGTGCCATTTTTATTTGTCTTCTTTCCTGATCTCAGA